TGTCTGACCAATTTGTCTCATTATCTTTCCCGCTCGGCCTCTTATCATATCATTTTAATATATTTCCTATATTGACTTGTAATAGGGCACTCCCTTCATGAGTTAGGTGTAAGCCCCTGCGATTTAAATGTAAGCTGTTTATATTACTATTATCTATAAACGACCAATTGTTTTCTTCACATTTCAGTTTCAAAGCAACATTGGTCTCTTTTACCTTACTTGCAAATTCGGGATTATCCGTTCTAATGATCAAGGATGAAATAATTATTCTTGTTTTCTTCGATTCCTGTTTGAACTGGTGTGCCACTTTAGTAACTTCGTCAGCAACATTCTGCGGCGTCGAATTTCGTATATTATTTGTGCCCACGTGTATGACCAGTTTATCAGGTTGCCTTCGAGTTGTTGGCCTGAGAAAGTCGTTCATATCCTCCACGGTGGCGCCTGAAAAGGATTTTACTGCGACATTTTGCTCGGTATTAGATAGTTCCCACCCCTTCACGTATTTTATTATAGAATCTCCTGCTACAACAACAGTTTTCCTTTTCTGTTGTTGAGGCTGTTGTTCTTGTTGTTCAGCTTTTGCCTGTTCTACTTCCTGCGGCTTACGTGATGCGTCATTTTTGGTTGTCTTTTTCTTTGACTTGGATTTCCTTTTCTTTTTTTGTTGTACTTGATCTTCCTCAGTTTTCTGGTTTGATATTGCGCTTGATTCGCCGCCGTCTACTTGCTCGTTTTCCAGTACCGAATATTTGTTCTTTAATTTAATATTCGGGTTTATAATATCTTTTGATCGACTGGGTGCAATCATCCACTTCATTGCACAGCTTTTGTTCAATAACATTGTTTTCTACTACGCTATTGGTTTCAGCAATTAGCAGACGCATGGCAGTAATCACGCTGTCCCTTTCTTGTTCTGCGTTTTTTGTCTTTTGTTGCAAGTCAGCTAGTATAAATGATAGGTTGTTGATTCTTTCGATGTTTTCATTATTTTCGTTTTTCAAAAGTTTGTTCTCGTCCATCAGTTTATAATTTTTTTCTTTTAGGCAATCAACTTCGTTTTTTGATTCTTGAACTAACAATGGATTGGAGTCCATTTTTGGTTCCCTTATGTTTTCTAGAGCAGCCGTATTTCCGTTTACTTCTTTGGTAAGAGCTTGTATTTGGCTTTGAAGGGCCTCAAGGGACAATATTTGGTCATCTTGTATGGAACGGCTGTTTGCTGGAATTTTTTTGATAACATTAGGAATAGCTTCTTCGCATTGAATTTCATCAACAAATGGCCGGTTAACATCATTATCTACGTCTCTCGAGTCATTAATATTCAAAGTCGAAGCAACATGCGTCTCTTCAATATGGTCGTCCCGCTTCGATGCTTCCTTTCCACTTTCATTTGCCAGCTTCCCCGATATTACGGCAGCAGAATTGAATATCTCTCCGACTTCATCTTTTAGTTTACCGTTTAAAGTGATTGTTTGTGTATCGGGGTACCATCGAAGATCAATATCTTCGGATTAAAACTGTTTAGCACTACCTCCGGGGCAGCACCAGCCGCCATCAGCTAAATTCAATATTTCTTCTACAAACTTCTGTAAATCTTGTAAGGATTTTGTCCAAATCAACTTGCCTTTGTTGTTGAATGATACACCATACCGAAGACTCATTTTTGGCTAAAATTAAGCTTCAATCTTAGAAATCAAGTGTCGAAATAGCGGAGCTAAAATAACACGTCCGATCACGAATTTCAATCAATCGTCACCAAATTTTGATTTTCACCGAATCAAATCAGATCGTCACCGAATCAAATTTTGATTTTCAAAGAAAGTTTATATACGAGTATCGAGAAGCGCGAGTCTCGTGCCTCGGTCAAACGAAAACCGAAGAGTTGCACGAGAGTTGATGAGATTTAACTCCTAAGACGAATTTTTTTAAACAAAGCTTCTCCTATAGAGGAGCAGTTTCATGGAACCAAATTTTAATGGAGAAACTTCCAATTATAGAAATACCTGAAACTTCCATAAGTTCTTTTAAAAGACTAATAGATGGCTTGTGTTTTTGAATTGGGAGGTCATCCTGCTAAACCATACGTTTATGTAAATAGAGTATATTATGCATGATTGTTTTATAGCTAATAATTTTGATATTTTTATAATAATTTATAGTAAGTGTGCACGGCCCTTCGAAAAACAGACTCCTGAAAGGCTACCGTGAATAAATAAGCTTAAATAATAATAATTTGTTTAATTATTTCAAGACTAAAACTAGATTCTCTACCAAGCAATGACTCGGTTTCACCCTCAATAACATATATTCTTAGACTAGCATTTACATAATTGCTTATATACCTGATTGCATTGTTTCAGCTCACAATCTCTGAACAGGGCTTTGTAAAGTCTGGAAGATACAATGTTCTGCTTGCTTCCAGTGTCCACTACCATTCTAACTTTCTGCCCATTTATGGCTACTTGAACAGAACCATCTTCTGTTTAGACGTTCGACCGGTTCGAAGTCGTCGTCCTCTTCTGATGTAGATTCTTCCAACCAATTTTTGGATGTTATAGCCCGAATCTTTCTCGACTTCTGATGCTTCTTATTTCCTCGTGGTTTCTCGGAGCTACTTCTTTGTTGGTCTGACGAATTCGAACGGCAAACACGAGCAAGGTGTCCCACCTTTCCGCAATTTCTGCAATTCAGCGATATTACTCCACACTTGTCTGCAGTGTGACCATCTTTGCCCCCACATCTGAAACAGGAAAAGTCTTTCTTTGCTTCGTAATGCTTGCCTTTACCGCCGGTTGAGCCCGAACGGTTCAATATTATGGGGTTTTCTTTCGTCCCAGTCATGCATCAGCTGGACTTCATGCTCGGCACTCTCCGTTGTTTTGGCAATTCGAACAGCCTTACTTAAATCAAGAGTGTCCTGTTGAAGCAGATGTTCCTTTAGTTTTTTTTCGAATAGCACTTCTTACTATCTGATCTCGAATCATTTCACTTTCGAGTTCATTAAATTCGCAGGATTTAGCGAGTTCTCGTAGTGCTATAACATAACAGTCTATTGGTTCGTCACGCCGTTGAGCACGACATCTGAAACGATATCTCTCGCTCACCACGTTTCGCTTCGGAGCGAAATAGTTCTCTAGAACGGCTTCAGCTTCCTCGCAAGTTTTCTTATAACTAGGCAATGTCTGGAAGATTCTCTATGTAGCTGGTCCAAGACAATGCAGTAGTGTCGCTCGTTGAATTTCGTCTAACTATTCACGAGTTCTGTCGCTGTGGCATATATTTTGAAAGCGTTTAACCATTGTTGCCACTCAGTAAACACGTCAGATGCTTCCGAGTTAAATTTAGAGGGCGGTGGTAATACGTGTTCAGCCATTTTTTTCCACAATTCTCGTTAGTCGTTGCCCCATATCCTCGTCGCCAATATGTTAGTGTCGTAAGTCAATGCTATATACTATAATGCCTTAAATTAAGAATAACCACACGCTCATATACATTTCTATGGTGACGTCATACGTCACCAATCTACTAACTACACTACACATATTTATTTATCTATTTGCAATCTTTGTCAAATTTGACAGGTTTCTCCCACAGAGCTGGCTGTTCCAGCATATTTTTACAGCATATTTTTCATATGATGACCAGTTAGATGGTGCCAGCCCCTAACCTGTGAACGGGCATGCTGTAGGTACGAGATTGCCCACTCAGGTATAGGCTTCCTGACAAACCGCTGGCGCATATATGAACACGCCTTTCTTACTATTAACAAAAGTAAATGCAAATGACATGTTAGACCTGCATTTTCCTTCTTTCAGGTTATCCATTAAGAACGAATATCATTGCAAACCACAGCGTGCAATCAAGTATGGAATGTGGTCAGTGTTGCATGCAGAGACAAAACTGCGTTGGTTTTAATTTCAAATCATCAAAGACAAAAAGTGATCAAATGAACTGCCAGTTAACCAACAGTAAACGTTATTCAAACAGCGAGCCGGGTGTAAGCGGGAAGGAGGCGGTATGGTCATTTTACCAAGTTCTTCAAATAAAGGTAACATTTCTAGTTGTTTCTATTTCTAGCTTGTAGCTGTAACCTGAGTGAAGTTCACATTGAAAAGGAAATGCACACATGTGCGCTTACACTAGATATACTGTTTTGTCAACGGGGTCGCCCTTGTTGCCCTTAGCATTAATGATTCATTCCCAGGCCCCGGCCTCAAAAAGCATAAAATTCCTATTCCTTGCGAAATATTTCCTTTAAAGCATACCATACTGTGATCAAAATATCAATGATTATAATATCAATATCGTTACATTAATTTTACTTCTGTATTCCGTGCTGAAATTATTCTCCCACAGTATATTTTTTATCCAGCATCCTGCAACTTTTTCAAATCCTGATCTGCCTATAATTAGATAGATAGATAGATAGATAGATAGATAGATAGATAGATAGATAGATAGATAGATAGATAGATAGATAGATAGATAGAAGATTTAATACTTAAACTCGCGTATTCAGCTACCGGCCGAATGCAAGTGACATAAAACAAAAGGAGGTCTTTTGATGGTAATTTGGCTCGTTTCAATTGTCTCAAAAAGTATAAGCGCGATGAGACTTTTTTGCATACATTCTTGATATGTGTGTTCCATTTAAAATCGTTGGATATGGATAGGCCTAACAGTGTTGTAGACGGGACTTAATGCTAATGCGAAGTTCTTTACACTTGGATTCCTTTAGATGCATACCATCGTTTCTAGACTTCGCGGCGAATTCGTTAACATTGAGTTTGCATTGCACTAGGTTCATCTTTCCGACAGTTTCAGACATGGTTGAATCATCAACGTATTTCCAAAGGCTCGCGTCGCCAGCAACGTCAAGATCGTTCATCATAACTAGAAAAAGCCAGGAATCTAGTTTTATCCCCTGCGGGACGCCTGCCGGTACGGTTTTCCATTCGGAAACACAATCGTCCCTTAGCTTGACTCTTTGGCTTCGACCTGTTATAAAATCCAATATCCAGTGCAGAATGGTTTTGGGGATATCGTAGTTTGTCAATTTAACCGATAGAATGCGGTGATCTATCATGTCTAAAGCTTTACAGAAATCAAAAAGCATAACTCTGTTTATAGAGCCATTGCCGTCGGTGCTTATGTTCCAGGAGTACAGCATGCTGATTAGGGCATGCTTGGTACTTGAGTTCGGGATGGATCCGAATTGCCTTTTATCAATCCTAGCTAATACTGCGGGTTTTAGGTGTCGCTCAACAACAAAATCTTCGGCTAATTTTATAAAATTGTAGTCAAAGATATCGGACGTAAGTGGTTGTCGATATCAGCATGGGTATCTTCTTGGGGATAGCGACAATATCTGCCTCCTTCCAAGATTTCAGGACGCGACATTCACGATAAGAACAATTTAGAATATCTTTAACTGGAAGCTCTAGGATGTCTGCGTTCCCTTTTAATACCCATGTTCGTATTCCATCAGGGCCGTGGGCTTTCCTTGGGTTGAGTTTTGAGAGGTTTTCAAACACGTCCCCTGCAGTAATTGTAATAGTGGGTTCGTTTTGGGAATTTGATACTAAGTTCTGGAAAACTCTGGAGCCAGAGGTACGAACTCTGCCATTGTGGAAAGAAAGGCATCTCGTAAATTATAGTTATACTTTAAGCGTGAGATATTTAATCTATTGAAGTCACCCAAGGTAATAAATCCACAATTAGAAAAACGAGATTCCAACGCTGAGAGGCAGCACGATAAGTAACCTAGCATTGTTGGAGCATCTGCACTAGGAGGGTGGTAAACAGTTCTAATGACTAAATTGCCAAATCCTCTCGGTAATCTAGATATGCGCATGTTGATCCATAGGACCTCGAACAAATCGTTACTGATTTCGTCTAACTTCTCGAAATCTATTACGTTTCAATATACATGCAAACTCCCCCGTGTTAACCACTGGTTCTGTCTTTGCGGATGAGATTATGTCCCTGAAGGTTGACTACGTTGTCATGTATGTGATTGTGTAACCAGGTCTCAACTATACTAATAAATTGGAATTTTTCGCGTCGGACAACTTCCCGTACTTCGTCAATTTTGGGCACCAGTGACATTACATTGGATAGAAAAAAAGCAGTGACGTGAGCAGCTTTTGAGTTTTTACTTACGATTGTGTTAAAATGCCTTGCAATCTCCGTCTGGGTGGTCTCGTGGGTATTTCCATTGGCCAATGGGGCCGGGGAGGGGAAATTGGAAAGGGATATGGGGGAGGGGGATGGGGGTAGTAAGAAAGGATGTAGGGGAGGGGGAAGGGGGGAAGGAGAAAAAGGTTGTCCAGTCGGGGAGGGGGAGATCTTATAGGAAATCCTATTAGTGGTGGGGGTATGAATCTGGTGGCGGGGAATAACCCCATGTATGGGGGAATCACATATCACACAGTGCATATCACACAGCCTCGACCAGTCTTACCAACGCATGAGGCCATCATAATATCATATTTCGCACTACAATTTTTCGCGTTTCCACAACTAACCAAGGGACTGTTGTTGCATACGTTTTAGTGATATTTCTCATTATCTATATCTAAACTTAAAACATGCACGTTACATATATTATGCTGTTGATAGACTGAATCTTCACTTAAGCATTTTAGTATTGCATGGTATGTTTGCATGTAAATACCAAAACTAGCTCGGTCACTAACTTGTTTTGCCTAGCCTTCCAACAACTCATATCTATAGAGAATGGGATATGCTATCCACTGGAAAGTTTATAAAATCTAAGGTATTCACAACACAATGTTCAGCATTTTTAAAAGCACATTCAATCATTTGAAGATAAAGGACATAACATAAGGTTCACAAGGTTCAATTACTAGAAGATTAAACCTCCTTTCTAAATTCCATTTTCTTCCAATGTTTCGCTTGTTTTTCAGACAAAAGGGACCTTGACTGGGGGGCGGGCCAAAATGGTTGACTGGGAGGTGGGGGGGGGGCAGCATGGGTGCTGGAAGGCTTTGGCTCCCTAGTTATATGGTTAAAAAAGCCCTTATTATAGCTTCACGTTTTCCGTTACCAAATTGTCCAACTTAAGTTATTATTGCATGCAACTGATCTGGAAATACAAACTAGAATAATGTTATTGTTTCTAAAACTTTCACCTTTGTTGTTCATAACTTATTACTTATTTTTATTTCTCAAGGATATTTACAAAAGGTTAATTTAATTAAATTTGCAACGTTTCGGACATTTTAAATGTCCGTCTTCAGGCGACAACTCTCCGAAACGTTGCAAATTTAATTATTAAATTAACCTTTTGTATATATCCCCCAAAACATATTGTAACCTTTTGTATTATTACCCCCAAATATATTGTATTCTTTTCTACCCTTTAGTTGTTTCTCTCGTTTGCTTCGAAAGTTTTCCTTCGGGATTTCCGCTTTTCTTCCATGATTGAAAACTAGTCCTTAGGTCTTAAGCTAGGATCAGACAAGGATGAAATGACAGTTGGCAGTCACGCGACATTGGTTAACTGTTTTTATGCTTTCCCAACACTATCATGTATTCTTAAGTTGAAACACAGTTGAAACACTTAGAAAACCTGATTTTGTTAATCATTTCTTTGTAACATGCATGACTATCAACTCTCATAAACTATCATGCCCGTTTGACTGGGACTTTAATTTTCGAGTACTAGTTTCATGACACCCTGGCTCTTGTGACCTGAAATAAATTATTTTCATCAAAACTTTGTAGTAACGAAATCTAATTATTTGATTGTAGCCACCGGCAGGAAATTATGAAAACCCTGGAGAATCTTGCTTAGGTATTTTGCGGAAAAATCAAGGTCAATCTCTGAGAAATGGAGAATACTGGATCACTGGCGATAGTAGTGGACCTTTAAAGGTGTTTTGTGACATGATCACAGATCAAGGTAACATACCATGGTAAAATACGTTATTTTTGCAACTGATCTAGAAATACAAACTAGAATAATGATTACCGCAGAAATTTATCGTTTGTAATGCTCGACTGTATTTCAAAACAATGTATGCTTATTTGATTTTCAAAATTTGAACGGAAGTTTTTTAAAAATGGGATCCATATTCCTGTACACTCTGTTTCTTGATAGTGCCAGGTTTCTTAGCTTTGTCTAACAATGTGTAACTGTTCTCATCTTCTGCGTTAGTTTGCATGAGTGAACAATGGATTGCACTGTCCAGTGTAAACGCAGATCAGTAATTCTTCCAGTACATGCAAACACATAATATGAGATTCCATTGCAGAAGAAAAGAGTTTCAAAATATGTAGCTGACAAATATTTGGTTTATTGATTCAGTATCCGCAAGTAATTTTAGAGGATGACCTCAAACGTTTCTGTACGTCATGTTTTCCTATTATTAAGTACCATTCCATCATATTCAAATTGTAAGTTTTAAAATAACGAGTAGCCCTCCTTACCCAATCATACAACTTGACCATTTTCATATTTAAATTGTTAAGGTGGTTGGACTTTGGTTAGCAACATCGTTTACCAATCTCCTGAATTTGATTGGCATATTCAAAATGACTTCCGGAAAATCAGCGAGTTGAGCAGTGGTGACATTGTACTTACACCTCATGCATTGGGGAAACTCAAAGATAACATGTCTTTTAAACAACTGAGATTTAATTGTTTCAAGAAAATACCAAGCCGTATTATCGATATTGCAACCACACAAACTCTCTATGGAGAAAGAGTCGTCAAATATTTCACTTCTGATAACAATGATTTCCCTATAGCATGCACATCCTTTTACAAATTGTACGATGATGATTCACAACTTGCCTCCAGAAATTGTTCAAAGTGGGGTACCAAAGGGTCCAATGGCAAATTTGGTCGATGGTCTCATGAGCATGTGATGGAAAATAATCGTTTATTCGACCGTGTGGCTTTCATCCATGCTAAAAATTATTGCAGCGTTCTCAAACCAGGAAGTGGTCCAGGAAATGGCAAAGAACGACGTTGGGAATGCGACGACTTTAGCAACTCTCCTGCCTTTCAGGTCAGCTCGGGCGATTTCTGGAAAGTGTTTGTTCGATAAAATGCATGCAAGACCATTCATTATGCTTTATGTTTTCAGAGTGATGTATGTGTACGTAGATAGGTAAAGAGGCATGAGAAAATGTAAAATATCGTATTTTAAAATGTGCTCGATTTGAAGCCGGAAGCACAATTAAGTGAATTTTTTATATTTGGTCCAGCAAACATTTGGTTCCAGTATGGTTAAAGAGCTGCGATAGCAGTGATGTAGTGAAAGGTGCTCAGGGGGCATACAATTTTATGTTGATTTAGAGGGGTGGGGGGGAGGGGGTGGAAGAGCACCAATTGCTTAATCTTACCGTGAAAAGCTCTTTGGTACTACACTGCAACTACCAGGGCTGCAAAATTACCGCTGAAAATGGAATTAATTTCAATTATCTTGCTATTTCTTTAATTTAATGCACTTCTACGTCTTCCTGTGTATTTAGATTACAGTATTCAACAATAAAAACAATAAATATTTGTGTATCCGATTGGCTGTTCAAAATTAGACTTGTAAACATATGTAGGTGCGGTCGTAACGTTTGTGGGAGTGACGGCGATACCAATTTTAATTTTGATGCGATTCCACAGTTCGGTGACTTTTGTAATATTATATTTAATAAAAGCAATAGCAATTCTTATGAAATCCACAATAGTTATATTAAATTAATTAAGCGTAGTTTTCATCCCATGATAATACGAAAATTTAATTTCTGCCAGGCATATAATTAGTTATTTTATGCATAATTAGCAATTTACCTGGGGTGGTGCATGGTCATTTTCTTGTTAAATATTATACTTAGACAATTTTTTCCTTCCAGTGACCACCCCTAAAAGCAAACCTTCTAAACACTACAAGCGCTTCGGAAAGGCTATCGCTTTTCCTTTTCGGAAGTTTATTAATAGAGCTATGTCGACACTGCCGTTTCCGGGCGGGGTCATTTTCAGGACTTTCGTGCCGGATTCAAGTTTTGGCGCATATGCCATCCTGACCGCCATGGTCATTTTACCCTAAACCAGTTGAGATTACTTGAAACCCATACAAACTCATATACAGGTCTTAGACTAAACGTCGCTTACGGCCTTTATAATGGCTTTGATCGATGAACATAGTCTTTCCGAGACTTCGATGTCTGCTTTGGCGATGGTAGAATCAGTTTTTTTTAGCTGTAGAGTCCAAGAACTTCAATTCTGCTTGTAGTTTAGCAATTTGCTCCTCCATATCAAATAGTACAAGTCACGTTTTCGCTTGTTGAATTCACAATCCTGCCGGGGTTGCCACGTGTTAGGGATTTCTTGGCTTCCAAAAAGAATAGTATCCCAAAACAAATCACATAGATATAATTTACTGTAGCTTAATACTACCGAGCCTTGTCTTCGACCCAAAGAATATAAAGTATATAAAATATATAAACAAACGCTATACACCTGCATACGATATGACGTAGTAAACAATGTTACTTCCGGTTTCCCATTTGCGGACAATTGACCAAACATGCACAACAATTTAAGGCAATGTAACAATTTTTGGATTGCTACTTTAATGACAAATTTAAAGGAGCTGATTTCCAGTCATGACTTTGCACGACAGTAGGGATTTTTATATACAAAGACAATATAGCGAATAAATTATTTTAGTCTTTGTTTACATAATATTCTTAATTGTCTTATAATTAATATGGGCTAATTTTTATATTCTCATGGAGTTATCAATAGGAGCCAGTAATTGTAGTCCTATTTTTAGTTGACCTGACAAAGATTGTGTAATTCAGTCAAAAAGTTGTCATAAATAAAAACTTTTAGAATTTACTACTGCACTGTATTTCGTTTTATATTCCTTCATTAATTAAAAAATAGAAAACATTTTCCGTGTTTCTATAGAGTTATAGAAACACGCGTGGAAGTTTGGGAGAAACGAGAAATCGCGTGGGAACACTAGCACGAAGTGTAAGTGTTTCCACGTAATTTCGAGTTTCTCCCAAATTTCCACAAGTGTTTCTATAAACTCTATAGGAACACGGAAATTTTTTTTTCTATTTCCTTTATTAAATAGCCTTTTAAAAACAATAAAAAAGATAAATTTATTGATTTTAATTACATTCATTCAAATATTAATTCTTTCTTAATATATGTTCCTGTAAAGAATAATTAAAGCATAGCCAAGTAAACAAGTATATCGCTGTCAAAACAACAGACAGCACTTTTTAACATGCTTAAAAACTTTATTAAAGTATATAATTCACTCAACAACGTACATGTTTAATTGCAAAGAAAGCACTGTTTTAAATAGTTAGTAAACGTTTAAACATGATCAAGAACGATAAAAACGATAGTAAACACGATTAAAAACGTTGCGAGGAAATATTTTTTGTTGCTTTTGTATTTTGTCTTTTAAACTCCCGCGCAATCCATACAATCCGTGTGAAAATATCCCGCGTTCCTATCGAGTTATAAGAAGCACAAGTTTTTTGAGCTTTTGACCAATCAGCGCCCGTGTTTAAAAGGCTATTTTATAAAGACTGTTTGATTACAGTAAGACTATTGACTAGGTAACGTCCAAGTTTTGAAGGATTTGTAAGACATGTTTGAAGAAACTGACCCATTGTTTAACGCTGAATCAGTTTCCTCACACCAGGGCCGTAACTAGACGCGATAATTGGGGGCGGGGGGTATTCATATATTCATGTTCATATACCGCAAAAACAATTGCTTTCAAAGGAAATCAGTAGGGTAGAACACGAATATATGAATCTGCACCCCAAAATTATCGCGTCTAGTTACGGCCCTGCCTCAAACATTTCTTACAAATCCGTCAAAACGTGGAATTTACCTTTGCAAAATTTCTATTGTGATCACAGAAACCTTGATAGTCTAAATTAGCCTTAAAACGTATTACAAAATGGGAAAATGGTGACCAAGACTACAAAGCAACCTCAGTGTTGTATAAAAATAACTTATTTATTAGATACTTATAGTATCCTCTGGAAAAAAATGCGAATCCAGCAAAGACCCAAAAATCTGTCTTTTTCACTTAAAGAAATCATTAACTAGACTGCAATAAGATAAAAATCATTCGACTCTTACACTTACTAAATGCCGTTTAATTAAAAATGAAACTGAGTCCAAATAATATTATGGATTATATGTGTGGAAACAAAAGTCCACAAAAATCTACGGAGAAATTCGAAACTCCAAAATTGCAGAAGAATCTGCGCAAAGCTTTCATAGGATGGGGAAAAAAATGGGTGTAATTTTTTTAAGTGTTTAAAAACCTTTTGCCACATAAATAGGATTGTACAACATCTTAAATAACCATTATATTATTTAGAACAACACACCTAGGTCGTATTTTTCGGTGCGGAATAAAAATTTTTACACAAGATTTTTAAAAATATTTTCACCTAAAAATTAGAATATGATCCATGGCTGTTGATCGCACTCCTGCTGACTGACAACAATGAAGTCAAGCAGGTGTAAACCTTTAACAATTCTATACCATGCAAACATTGTCAGTCAGCAGGAGTGCGGTCAACAGCCATGGATCATATTCTAATTTTAGGTGAAAATATTTCAAAATCTTCTATAAAAATTGTTATTCAGCCCCGAAAAATACGATCTTCGATCGCGCCGGGTAATTGTGAGTCATAATATTTCAGTACTGAATAACAATTTTTATACAAGATTTGAAATATTCCTACCTAGAATATGATTAGAATATGATTGATACTGATAGCTGCTGATTGCACTCCTGCTGACTTACAACAATAAAGTCAAGCAGGTGTATATCTTGAACAATTCTATACCATGCAAAATAGTTCGATCGTGGTGGGTTGTTAGTCATCATTTCTAAATTGCGTAAAATGTGACTGCATTGAAGGCAAACAGGCGTAACTATTAACAATCACTAAGCCCTGCAAAATATTTGTTCAGATCTATTTATGGTATATGAGTTTGATATATATTTTCATCCGAAGAAAGGAAAGGTCAGTTTCGTTTGAGAAGAAGACGGTATTGGGCCAAAGGTTCAAGGTCAAGCCAGCACATAGTATTTACAAAGGTAATATTTTAAGTCATGTAATATAGCTACATAACATTTGATAGTAGGCTGTTACTTGAGTAAATCTATCAGGCGCCAATATTTGCATATTACGTATTTCCTAATTCGCAAATATATATATACATATATATATATATATATATATATATATATATATATATATATATATATATATATATATATATATATATATATATATATATATATATATATATATATATATATATAGTATATATTTGTTTTGCCCACAAAGGGTATTTACAAAGTAATTTAGAATATTTACAATAGTATATATGAAGGCTAATAGGAACCTTTGGAAATCCTGTTGAACTTTTAGATAAGGCAATATATATTATTGTTATAATTAAAATTTAAAATATTTATACACGGTAGCCTTTTACATGCGTGATTTTCAAAGGACCGTGTGTTTTAAAAAAGAATTACAACATTTACTAAGACTAGTAATTACAAACTCTTACAAAGTATCATAATATTTTTTAAAATTAAGTAAGCTACGAAAAGAAGAAATATAGATTAGGATTCGTCTACCACTCGTAAAAGGTCAGAGGGTAGACTATTCCACGCGACAGCCCCACGGTATAGGAGAAGCTTCTTTTTAAAATTCTGTTTTTGGATTAGAAAGGCTCCCTTTTAAATTGTTACTCCGTAATGTAATGAATATATATAATTAGAATGGTTACATTTATGAAGCATTATTGTTAAGTAATAAGGTGCCATGTTTTTTAGAATTTTGAACATCATTGTTAGATCTCCTTTGTCCATGAGATTTTTTATTGGATGGGATTTTTTATTGGACTTTTTATTCGAAAAAAATTTTTGTAGAATTTTTTTGCCTGAGTATTTTTCACTCGTGCATAACAACAGTTTGTAATTGCATTAATACCTGCAGTGTAAAATTTGGAGATTGAAGTTGTAATACAATGGAACACACAAATGTTTTG